CTGGGTTCAAGAAGGTTGCTGAGAAGATGGTGCAGAATGGTATTGGTGTGGACTTTTTCCTTGCTGCGCCCAGTGGAGGGTACCTCGACATTGCGACCATCGGCCACGTCTCCGCTGTAACAGGTGGAGAAGTCTTCTACTACCCCAACTTCCATGCGCCAAGGGATATCCTGAAATTATCCAAGGAGATCCAGCACACAGTCACGCGAGAAACCGGATATCAAGCGCTGATGAAGGTTCGCTGCTCAAATGGCCTGCAGGTCTCTGCCTACCACGGGAACTTCTACCACCACACTTTTGGCGCCGATCTAGAGTTCGGAGTCATTGATGCCGACAAGGCTATTGGTGTCATGTTCAGCTACGATGGCAAACTGGATCCGAAGCTTGATGCTCACTTCCAGAGTGCGCTACTATACACGGCAGCCAACGGTGAGCGACGAGTGCGGTGCACGAACATCGTGGCCAGTGTCAGCCCGAACACTGGTGAATGCATGAAGTTTGTCGATCAGGATGCCGTCGTAAACATCATCGCCAAGGAAGCTGCTGCTCGCATGACAGAGAAGAACCTCAAGGAGATTAGGGGAGCCTTGACGGAGAAGACTGTCGACATTCTTGCTGGCTACAGGAAGAACTTCACTGGCAACAATCCTCCTGGTCAGCTTGTACTACCGGAGAACCTCAAGGAGTTCGGCATGTACATTCTCGGACTGATCAAGTCAAGAGCCTTCAAGGGCGGTAAAGAGCCCACAGACCGGAGAGTCCACGACATGCGCATGATCAAGTCGATGGGCCCACTGGAGATGTCACTATACCTCTACCCCCGCATCATCGCAATCCACAACCTCGACGCGCGCGACGGTTTCGCAAACGAAAAGGGCCACCTCGTAATGCCAGAAAACATCCGAGCTTCCTTCTCCAAAGTCGAAGAAGGCGGCGCCTACATCGTCGACAACGGCCAAGTCTGCCTCCTATGGCTGCACACACAAGTCTCGCCCAACCTCCTCGAAGACCTCTTCGGTGAAGGCAACAACAGTCTCAAAGCGCTCGATCCCTTCCAATCTACCCTCCCCGTTCTCGAAACCCACCTCAACGCCCAAGTCAGGAATATACTGCAGTACCTCGAAGGTACGAGGGCGTCCAAGGCGCTTACTATCCAGCTTGCACGACAGGGGCTTGATGGCGCGGAATACGAGTTTGCGAGGCTGTTGTATGAGGATCGGAATAATGAGGCGCAGAGTTATGTGGATTGGCTTGTGCATGTGCATAGGCATATTCAGTTAGAGGTACTTGGCATCTGATGGTGTGTGTTTGGAACGCGATTGCTGACTTTGAATAGCTTGCTGGACAGCGCAAGAAAGAGGACTCGGGTGATGGTGTTGGCTCTACGTTTGTTGGCCTGCGGACACCGTACTGGGGGTAGGGTAGTACGAGAAGGCAGCGATGTCGATGATGGAGGTTGTATTGCATAGCGATAGCGGGGAACCGGCGGAGTATTACTACTGAAAGACGACACCCACGTATTAAATCGAACCCAACATTTCTCCCATCATGCCTTTATCCTGCGTATGTTGATGTTCCCCACCACTACATCATGCGAGTATGCACCGATGCGACAGGGTTCACGCACGTGACCCCACTAGCGCACCTCGCTTAGCATTTCCGCTCAACGAAGAAAATCGCCAGCGCCGGTCTTCCATCGAACTTTCGCTCGACAACTAACCCACAGCATCACGACACCAAGATGCCTACCCGCCTAACCAAGACCCGCAAGCACCGCGGTCACGTCTCCGCCGTAAGTTATCACCCCGCGAAGCCCTTTTGTATAGTGCTAACTCGGCATCCAGGGTCACGGACGTGTCGGAAAGCACAGGAAGCATCCCGGTGGTCGTGGTATGGCCGGTGGTCAACATCACCACCAGACCAACATTGACAAGTACCATCCTGGTTACTTCGGAAAGGGTAAGTTATGAGTGTACGATGTGCATGTGAGACATATACTGACTCCGTTGCAGTCGGAATGAGGTACTTCCACAAGATGCAGAACCTCTTCTGGAAGCCCGTCATCAACCTCGACAAGCTCTGGTCGCTCATCCCCGCCGAGAAGCGCGCCGAGTACCTCGCCAACAAGTCCGGCAACGCGCCCGTCCTCAACCTCCTCGACTACGGCTACTCCAAGGTCCTCGGAAAGGGTCGTCTCCCCGCCGTTCCCATCGTCGTCCGCGCCCGCTACGTCTCCGCTGAGGCTGAGAAGAAGATCAAGGAGGCTGGTGGTGTCGTTCAGCTCGTCGCATAAGCGCCAGAACGATAGGATACGATCAACCATCACCCTCACAACACGATTGTGCATGAAACGGCGTCTCGGAATGATACAAAAGGATACCATAACGGCAATGATTGGGATGGATCTTCAGGTCCGCAGTTACCCTAATGGGTCTGCGTTTGACTTGCGTCAGCGTGGTGGCTGAGGAATGTTTCATAGACAATATGACCGTTCCTGAACAAACCTTTGGCCTTTGGCTATCCCGTCCATGTTATGCGTGGATGTGGTTCGGCATCGCTGTGCTATCGCATGGCTGCCTCCGTGATGTCGTGAAGTTATGGCGCTACGTGCTGTGAGGTGAAAATTCTGTGGTACTAACTTGATGAGTCCAGTATACCGCGTACTTTTTGGCCTGACAGCCTGTCGTCCAAACAACGCATTTTGCGCTCCAAGCGCTGGCGTCGATTCAATCACATCGACTAGAAACATCCTGTCGCATTGAATATGCGCCTGCGATCGTGACCTCTGGCTACTACCCTAGCCGCGAACTCATCACAATAGCCTGACCGGCAGTTAGGCTTGCTCATTAGTCTGTATTAATCAGAAATCAGATGTTACTCAATCATAATTTCATCATCTCGCTCTCTTCCGTGTCTGGAACCGCTCATCTAGATCACTTGACGCTGCGCTACAACCCCATCGCTTCAATCCGCACTTACACCACCTCACAGTCGTCAACGCCCTGCAGGAGAATAGGCATGTGTTGCTGAAGGATCTGGCTCATCTGCCCCTTGACACGCTAAACGTGTACGTTGAGTGCGGTGTATAACACCATGTCCAATGACGCGATGCAGCAGCTTTCGGATCAAGGTGTTGAGACTCAGCGCGCTTCAAGCAAAGTCTTTGATGAGAGTTCTGTAGCGAAGTTTACCCTCTGGCAACGGGAGACCTACTACTTCATCTTATTACATAGGATATCTCATTTGTCAAATATACATGAACTTACCGATCCTGGAAGCGACTGCGTACAGTGAAGACAAAGAGTCAAATCCATAGATGAGGGCAAACCTGCGACCACGCCACACGGACTGTGCCGCTTCTACTTCACCTTGAATCCCACCTCAATCTTTCCCACTCGGAGAAATGACAATTCTAGAATGAGTGTGCGTTCTCGACGACCTGCGGAACAGGTCGGTTCAACAGCGGAAAACCAGGTAAGCATGCGTCTATCGCGTGTGTGTATGTCAAGGCTAATGGTCGCAAGGCTGAGCCTCGCGGTCAAATGTCAAAAAGGCAACGAGGCTCCTTGTTGACGTGGGATGAGATACGTAAGATAGTCGATTGCATGGTATTACTATAGCTGACCGATGCTGTAGCGAGTTGGTACCAGTACATTCACCATTAGATTACCTATCTTCGACGTCCGCTCACTAGGGTTAGAGACAATGAGTACATTCTGTCCGGCTATAGGTAATGATTCTGGGATGCTCGCTATATAGACGGTTTTTAATAAGGGCAACATACAGGGCGATCTCAAAGTCTTACAAGCAGTCCTTTAAAAGTATCCTCGGCATCCACAACGAAACCGGTAGGATTTACGCAGTGCCTACAGAAGACGAACTGACTCCACTCCAGTAAACATATTCTCGCATCTTATAGGATCAGCACTATTCTTTGCGCTTCCTATCCCCGTATACTATTCCCTGCAGCCAAGATACGACACAGCAACCACAGCGGACGTCGTCGTATTCTCAACCTTCTTCTTTGGAGTCGCTATATGCTTTGCACTGTCCGCAACGTAAGTCTTGCCACGCCTCCATCCACTGACACCCAAGAAGTGACACGCAACGTAGTTTCCACGTCGTCAACAACCACAGCGAAAGCGTCCACGTCTTCGGTAACCAGCTCGACTACGTAAGCAAACAACCCCCCCACCACTCCACACAGCCACTGAGTATATTAGCTCGGCATAGTGATACTAATGTGGGGCTCCACCATCCCATGCGTATACTACGGCTTCTACTGTACACCGCAACTACAAACAACATACTACACGCTCGTGTCCGTCTTAGCAGGAGGCTGTGTCTACGCAACACTCCACCCAGCTTTCCGTCGCCCAAAGTATCGACCCTACCGCGCGGCCATGTATGCCGGTCTCGGTCTCTCGTTCATCATTCCCATCGTGCATGGCTGCATGAAATTTGGAGTGGAAACGCAGATGCAAAGGATGAGTTTGGACTGGATGGCGTTGATGACGACGTTTAATCTTACGGGTGGCGCGTTGTACGCTATGAGAGTAAGTTGGTTGAACCTGAGAACTAGTTTGTGCTCATGAAGAAGAATGGCGAACTGACTACACGTAGATACCGGAGAAATGGTATCCGTACCGGTTTGATGTCTGGGGTTCGAGTCACCAGATTATGCATTGCTTGGTTGTTTGTGCTGGTGTTGCGCATTTGTTTGGGCTGCTGAGGGCTTTTGATCATGTTCATGGGTATGGGGATGTTTGTGGGGTGTGATGAGGGAGTTAAGATTGTCCCCGGTTACTATTTCGACACCAACGTCGTATTAGAAGCCGTCTACAACATGTGAGCACTGAAGATCATATGCGAGCCACTGCTTCACTTTGGCCTATTCTTTGGCTTGATAACGTGGTAATCGCAGAAGTAGTAATAAACGTCATGCCAACGACTTGGTAGAGTCGAGATAGCTGAAATCATAGCAACGACCCGGGTATCACTCATACAGCCTGTGATATATCCTCCCCACCGTTCCCATCGGGAATGCCTTGCAGCAAGGTCTCCCCCTTTTCCTCTTCTACATCCGCCTCCAACGCCTCGACGTCAGCTTGCTGGTTCTCGACAAGATTATCCGCTCCACCGCCACCACCACTACTTTCATCAACCTCGGCCTCACCACCATCAACCCCAACCCCAACCCCAACCTCGTTACTTCCCTCCAATTCCTCTCCCTGCATAACCACGTTTGTAACCCTCAGCACACCCCTCCCTCCACCATGCCCCTCCGGTACCCGATAACTCCTCGGCAGCGTCCGACTACTCGACTGCGAAGTTATCGTGCGAATCCGCTGAGTGCCACGCTCATTAACTTGGCGTTGAGTACGGAAGTGTCGTGTAAGAGTTTCGTGGGGGGAAACACTGGCCTGGGGTGATGAGGTCGAGAATCCAGCGGGTAATTCATCTGCTCGTTGGATAGCTGGTGCGTTCGTGTTGGCATTGTGGGGTGCTGTATCGCTATGCTGAGGCGGCGTAGGCTTGGTAATTAGGTGGTGTTGATCCCGTTCAAGCGCCATCATCAGATCCCGTATCTCCCTTGCTGCATCCTGTTGCAGAGGTAGATCTTCAAGCTGCGTTTTCCGCAACCGGTCGGATAGACTCGAACCTGAATGCTCTTGTCTGGGTCCTCTCTGCCCGCTCTCCTCAACTCCTTCAACCCCTTCAACCCCTTCAACCTCTACATCCGACACAGTCACAGAAACAGGCAAAGGCGTAGCCACCCTAACACTCCCCGGCGCCCTCTGAATCATCTGCGAAAGCCCAACTGGCGGGCCTATAACACTCTGCGTCCTACTTTCTAGGTTTGGGACAAGAGAAGGTGGATTGGGCTGTGTGCTGTCTTTTCGTCTTTTCGCTTTGGGTTTGGGGATGAGTACGGGGGTTTCTGTGGGGTTGTTGATGTTTTCGATGTGGTGGGTTTGCGGCGCAGATGGTTCGGCTAGGCGGAGGGCCATGAGGCGTTCTCGGAGTTTTGCTTCTTCTTCTCTTTTTTGGGTTCGGTGTATTTTGTGGGAGAGGTAGGCTAGGGTGTATTTCTTTGGGGTGGTGGGTGTGTTTGTGTCGTTTGGAATGGGGATGGTGGTGTGTAGTGGCGTGACGGTTCCGGGTCGACATGCAAAGGTGCTTAGGAGCCGGTTCATCATGTTCTTTCTCCCTGCATTGGTTTCCCCAGAGGAAGTCCTCATGGCGAACTCCTCGTCTTCTTCCTCTGTCATCCTTCTCTCTTCACCAGTCAAAGCGTTCAAATACCGCCGCCTAACCTCATCCTCACGCTCCCCATCACCCTCTACACCACCACCCTCATAACTCTCCCCCACAGACCCAAACACCCTCTCAGGATCAAATTGCACAGGCGAAGATACCGTCCGTCTCCTCCCCCTCCTTTCACCCCTCCTCCTCAAATTGCGCTCACTCTCCGTATGATACCCCTCAAGCCCATGCCAATACTCTCTCATCCCTTCTTCGTCCATACCGTGATAAGGATGATTAGGCGCATACGTATACCCCCCTTCTACACCACCATCAACATCGTTGTATCCATGATTCCCTTCTTGACGATGCTCAATCCGGTAACTCAGGCTCGACGCCGTCCCCTCCGCAGAAATCAAATGCCTACTCGCATTAAACGGACTAATAGGTGAAATCGTCCTATCAACTGGATATATCGGGAAGCGAGCGTGTGGTGTAGGCGGTGTTACGGCGCGGTAGTATGGGGAGGGGGATTGTGTGGGTCGTGGTGGTGGTGGTGGAGGGGGCTGGGAAGAGGAGGTTGGTGAGGACGGTGCGTCTTCTGGGTAAGGGTTTGATGGTATCGATAGTCCGGGTGATGGAATCGATAGTCCCGGTGAGGAGTTTGGGTGGATGATTAGGTTGGGAGGGGAAGGGAAGGGAGGGGGTGGTGTGGTTCGCGCGGGTTGTCGGGTTAGGGGGAGGAGGAAGTCGTCTTCGGGGTAGGGGTTTGAGGGGAGGGAGATGGAGTCTTCGTTTCCTTGGCTGGCGGGATAGGGTGGTTCTTCGTCTTCGTTTTCTTCGTATTGCGGTTCTTCCTCTGGCGGTTCCTCGGTTTGCGGTTCTTCGTCTGGCGATTCTTCGTTTTGCGGTTCTTCGTTTGGAGCTTCTTTGTTCTGCGCTTCTTCATCTGGTCCTTCTCCATCTGGCGCTTCCCCATTCCACTCCTCTGGACTCAGATTCTGCAGCATACTCTGCAACTCTCTTCCTTTCTTCCTCCCAACCTACACATCTCCGTCAGCAATCAATCATCCCCACCCCATCCCAAACGTTCTTCACATACCGTAGCATACCTCCCCCCACCCTCATACATCCTCTGTACCTCATCCAACCCCCTCCTCCTCGCCGCCCCACTATTCAAACTATGATACGCCACATACATCTCCCGCTCTCCCTCTCCATCCCCGACCGGCAACCTCTCCTCAGCGATACGATGCTCTGAACGCATCAACCGTTCTTCTTCTCGGTCCATATCTAACTCCCATTCTCCACCCCACGTCCCGTCGTTGATGTTCTCTCTGCTTGAGTCCCGGTTCCGCAGAGGTTCCATACTATCAGACCTTCCATCGCCATCATCCTCACCATCCCCATCCCCATCCCCATCATCCCCACCATCATCCCCCCACCCCACGGGACTCATATCCCTTAAATCCTCCTCCGACTTATCCACGCCGGTATAATACAGACCCAGCGACGCAGACAGTGCCGTACGAGCATTGTCTCCCCGGCGACCCAGGCTATCTCTGCGGCGGAGCGTGTTGGTGGTGTTGGTGAACCTGCCTTTGAGGGATGTGACGGTGACGTTTTGGCGGAGAGTGGCGATGCGGTCGCGGAAGCGGGAGAGGTAGATGGCGGTGGCGGTTTGTTCGGGGGACATGGCGGGAGGGTAGGTGGATGTGATGTGGGTGTTGGTGTTGGTGTGGATGTTGGCGTGGATGCGGGTGCTAGGTCTTGGTGATAGAGTTTGGCACGGGTTATGCAGGCATTCCCCTTCGTAATTCTGCGTATGAGTGGAGTGAGGGATGCAGCTTGCGAACTGATGGATTTGGCGTTTTGAGGTGCACGCTGATTCGGGGGCTGGTGACAAAAAGGTGTTGCACCCGCGGGCCGTTGGACTGGGACCTGAACCGACTCCCAAATTGCGAGCTTGTCACCGTGCGCTGTGGGCACTCATATCCTGAAAGCGAGACACGAGGTACGAACTGCTTGTAGGCTGGTTGCGTTGGTGGGTTGAGTGTTGTTGGGCTGTCAAACGTCAGCGGTTTTGACATCCTTACCCGTACATTGGACCCTTATAGCCATATAACCATCAGTCACATAAGACACAAAAGCAATACGCACCAATCTGAGAAATATTGATTAATTAGGGTATCCACGCCATCACTACGCCTTCTCTCCTACACCCAGCAAGTTCAGCAGTACTTCCTTCGCCTTGTCTGGCTCGACGCTTCCGTCTGGAGCCCTCATCACCATTTGTCCCACGAACCAGCCGACCTTTTTGACTTGGCCCTTTTCGGTTATGTCGCGAACCATGTCGGGTTTCTCTTCTAGTAGAGTCTGTGCCAGCTTGACGTACTCTTCGTGGCTGAGTGGTTGCAGGAGAAGGTTTTCTTGGTGAACGACTTCAGATACGCTGCGCTGATCTCCCTCAAATTTGATGGCAAGTAGGCGTTTTGCGGAAGGCGACGTGACCTCTTTGCGACGTATGTGCGAGATAACACCGGCGAGATAGTCGGCCGGGACGCGGTCAGGGTCCCAAGGTTCGTCTTGGAAGAGAGAGCCGAGTTCCATTAACACCCTGGTCATGCGTTAATTTGTTTCCGACGCGTATCATGGCAGATGAACATACCAGTTCCCGGTGATCTTGCCCAAGGTTTCTAGCGGGACATGTTTCTCGTGCTGCTCGGTTTGGCGCACCAGGCAGCGAATGACGTCCAGATAATACTCCAATCGTTCACCATCGTCCATGGAGAGAAGTGTGATGGCATCCTTGGTAGTGAGTCCGTAGGTATTGGCGAGCATGTCCACGTTCACGTCGGGCAGCTTAGGAAGCGTGTTCCGGAGGTGTTCAACAAGATCCTGAGAAGATTAGCACAGCTTTCATGCCAAAAGTAGTGCCTGTGCTTACATTTCCAATGATAACAGGAGCAATGTCTGGATCCGGCATGTAGCGATAGTCGATCTCGCCCTCTTTGCCTCTGAGACGTTTGGTAGTCTTGCTTCCAAGAGTCCACCCGCGAGTCTCGCCCTCAACGACACCTCCACCTTCGAGCAAGTCAATTTGTCGATCACGTTCTGCGATGATGGCATCTTCCACAGCCTTGACGCTTGCCAGATTCTTGATCTCAGTCCGTTGACCCAGACCAGTAACACCGTGGTATGAGTGACTATAGTCAGATGACTCCCCTGCCCGTTGACGAACTGATACGTTGACATCGGCACGCAGTCCGCCCAACTCCATGCCGGTTGTGCAGGCATTGACAGCCTTGAGTATGTTTTGTATCTTGCGAACGACGACAGCAGCGACTGTGGGATCGTGGATCTGAGGGAGGGTGATGATTTCGATTAGAGGATGCGAAACGCGATTGAAGTCGAGTAGGTGGGTCGAAGGGGGTTGCTGGACGGTCTTTGCGGTATCCTGCTCCATCTGTATCTGCTTGATGCCAATCTCGACAGGCCCTGGTTGCGGGGCAGCGCCAGGCGGAAAGTCATGAGGGTACAGGGTAATCTTGCCGTTCGTCGCGAAGGGCTCGTAGTACTGCGTGATCTGGTAGCCCGAGGGCTGATCTTGGTAGAAGTAGTGCTTGCGGTCGAAGCTGCTCTTGGGCTGTATCTCGCACTGGAAGGCTATGGCGGCGCGGAGGGCAGGTAGGAGAGTTTCCTTCTGGAAGTGAGGCTGAGTTCCAGGGAAAGCGACGTCAAATAAAGAGACATGAGTATTGGGCGCCTCGCTGACTGAGGTCGCAGCACCGGAGAAAAGCTTCCGCGCGGTGTTGAGTTCGGCATGGACTTCGATTCCAACCGTTAGCTCCCACTTCTCTAGTCGCACGTCTTTGCCCTTTTTTGAGGACTTTGAGGCGCCGGAAGAGGCGCTCTTTTCTTTCTTTTGTTGCTTCGCAGCATCTTTCAGCTGCTTTCGGAACGCTGTGCCATCCTGGGTCGGTGGTGGCTGGGTCTCAGTGTGAAGAGATCGTGCTGTGTGACGCGTGGGCAGATGAAGGGCGCCCAATTGAGACTGTCTAGTCCGGCGCAGACATGAATGACATATGTAGGGCTGTTTCGAGGCTGTAGCAAAGGTGTTGCGGGTGGTGCGGGCGAACATGACGTGAAGTATGGCGAACAGCAGTTCTGGTGCCAATGCACAGTTGCGGGCGGTCTGTGCTCACTTCCGAGCCACCTTGGACCAGCGACACGCGACGCCAACCACCCAATACTTCAACGCCAGGAAATGAAGCCGACGCCAGCGCCAAAACCTCTCGCGTCGCTTGTTCCACTTGAACACGTTCCGACGTCGCCCAAAAGGCCGTCGAGCTCGACGAGCTTTGCCCGCATTGTCTCGATGCCACCGCATTCACAACGACCGTCCGCTTTAGGTCACCTTGTGGAGTAACCTCTGCAATTTCCTGATCGCCCACTCAACAAGGGCTTGTCTCTTTCCGGGTCGTCTTCGTTTCACCCTCTGGAGGTCGATAAGACGGAGGTTGGCAGCGACTCCGCCTAGATTCTCGGGCACTGACAGCGTTGGATCCGATTCGCATGAGCTTCCCACCGCGGCATGAGTCTCCGGCGCCGCGCTCGAGGTGTTTTGGTGCACGGTAGTCGGCGCGTAGACGTGAACATAACATGTGATGTTCTGATAGAAGGTGTGCTCACCCGCGTTAGGGCGAGGAATGTCGAAACTACCGACGTTTGCCATGCGAGTCGTTTCGATCGGCTCTCCTCCTGCGGACACGAGCCTTCAGTCTTCTGAAACTGTTGCGGCACCTCTGCCACGCTTCTTCGTCTTTCGGTCTGTCGGCGGCGTGGACGAAGTTCCCAGGATGGACATATACCCCCGGCCAGCGAGAGAAGTTTGCCTCTGATCCAACGTTGGAGCCTTGGGAGAATCGCACGCTCCGATAACTCCGACTGCTGCGTACACTGGTCCCCATCCGCGCAAATGGGTTGAATGTTTCGGGCTCGAGCTTGCTGAGACGTACACGAGTCTTGACTGAACAACCGAGGCCTCAAAACTTGCCCTTGATGATGTTCTCGGCAACAGCTTTGGCGCTGTTCAGGAACTTCTTTGTCTGTTCTTTTCTCTTCTCCTTCTTCTGCGTCCTTGCTCGTATACGCTCTTCTCGTTGCTGTCTTTCTTCCGGTGTGCTAGTATCGGGTTGTGTCTTCGACTGCGACGAGGTGGAAGGACCGGCAGTGTCTGTCTGGGGTACAGCGGCGAAGTCGGTGTACTTGTATTCTCGTTCAGTCGGATGAGGTTCTGTGTCGGCACAGTCTTTCCCTGAATCGGCACCACAGTCACCTCCAGTATCGCCTTTCGAATCGGCTCCGCGATCTCCAGATGTCGTTCCGCAATCGCCTGAGGATGTCGTTCCAGAGTCTGCGGCGACGAATGAAGACTCCATTCAAAGCCTTGATGTGTGTTTGGCGCAGCTTAAAGATGGAGCTTGAGTGTAAGTAGCGTGGCAGTCAGACGAATCTTCTCCTTCAGCTTAGCCGCCTCGTGGCGCTTCGCTTTGACTGCAACAGCGGTTTCGGCTCGGACTGCCCTTCGTTGTTGCTTCTTCTCTTTGCGTTCCGCTCTCTCACGCTCCCACTGTTCTTCTTGTTCTTTGCGTTTGCGGTCCGCTGCCGCTTGCTCCTCGGCTGTCAATGGTCGACTGGACGAGGAGGAACCACCTTGTGGGATGTAATCTGTTCCTGAATCTCCGCCTGAGTAGCTGCCGCCGTCTCCTCCGTCACCTGCGGTATGGGATGTGCTGCAACCGCCGGAGTCGCCGCCGCCACAGTCGCCGGAGCTATAGCTAGCGCTACCACAATCACCGCCGTCTGCCATATACTGATCTCAAGTTCCGAGTTGACAAAGCTTGAGCGTGAGCGCTTTTATGTAAAGCCGAAGTTTGGCCTTCTTCCTACCCGCGGCTGGGACGTTGGCCTCGATGTCTGCTTTGGCCTTGGCTCGAACCGCCCTCCGCTGTCGCCTCTTTAGCGCACGCTTTCTCTTTCTTTCCAGCTGGTTCGCTCTCTCCCTGGCGGTGAGATTGCTACCGGAATAGCCAGATACGGAAATTGGCGTGCTCGATGCGCAATGT